CACTCATTTTCTCAGATTCAGAATTCTTTTGTTGCTACTACTTGACTTCCAGTCAAAGATATCATTTCTCTAATTAATGGAGTCTTTCTTTCTTGGATTTTGAATGGAGCACCATCTGACACAAATTGATGTTCTGAATTCTTGAGCATATTCCAAAGCTTAACAACATTGGCACCAAAGGGACAGTCTATAATCAATGAGGCACATAGTGATATCTTCTCAAGTATCCAACGTGCTTCAGCAACAATGTCTCATGTTCCTTTTCAAAAGCCAGCTTGAACATCTGACATCTCTCTAATCTCAATGGATGATCCTCAGCATAGCCCCAGCACATCTAACGATGCCTGAATATAAGATGTAATTGTGGCTGTTTGGGAAGGATGAGAGAGAAACAGGGGGGGGGGGAGGGGGGGGGGGGGGGAGGAGGGAGGAGGGGGGGAGGAAAGAAGGAAGGAAGGAAGGAAGGAAGGAACTGTTTGGTTTCAAAGAGTCAGAATTTAGATTTTTTTAAAACCCCACTTTGGGCCACTAGAGGGAGCATGCTATTTCTCTTTGACCTAATCTTGTTAAGTACTGTATAAATGCTTTCAACTCCCTTTCAAAAATACAAGTGGTCCACAGGTTATAACAGCAATTGGGACAAGAATTGCCGTGCTACGTGACACATGCCAAGCAGTGGTGGGATTCAAATTTTTTTTACTACCAGCTCTGTGGGGGTGGCTTGGTGGGCGTGGCAGGGGAAGGATTTTTTAATTCAATGTATAGAATCTGAAGGATGTGTGTTTGTGTTTATTTTCATAGTCAAGATGTACACTGAAGATGGTATTTAATTTCGTTGTACGGGGTGCAACGAAAATAAAGTAAACTAAACTAAATATTGTTCAGCAAGGACCTCTGAGGTAAGGGCCTCACTTGGCCGCAGCTTTTGACTTCCTGCTGGCTTCCCCATTGACTTTGCTTGTGGGAGGTTGGCAGAGAAATTGTGATCATGTGACCACGGCTCGCTGTGATGTACTTGTGAGTTGGGTTCTGGGGACCTTGATCATAATCATTTTAACCACAGAGACGATGCAACAGTCAAATCTAAGGACCAGTCATAAGTCCCCCTTGTTCAGCACTGTTGCAACTATGAATGGTTGCTGAACAAATGGTCTTAACCCCGGGACCACCTGTGGTAATGTTTTTAATCTCCTTTTCTTTGAATCTTGTTGTGCAGGAAGTTTTAGACACCCTATATTAATTTAAGACAGCGGTGTGCTTGTGCTTGCATGCGAAGCTCCATTTGCCCACCAGCCAGAGGTGGTATTCAGCAGGTTCTGACCAGTTGTGGAGAACCAGTAGTGGAAATTTTGAGTAGTTCAGCAAATACCACCTCTGACTGGAGATTTTACTGTATCCTTCCCCTGCCATGCCCACCAAGCCATGCCCACAGAACCGGTAGTAAAAAAAATTTGAATCCCACCACTGCCCTTAGCTCATGTGAGTGGAGCTTTGTGCACGCATTGCTCATTGCGGCCACGGCCTGGTTTGAAACAAGCCACAGTCTGGGGGTGAGGGACCCCTGCTGTAAAGCATTATGGGGCAGTATATAAGTGTATGTACTTTTGCTGGTGCTACTTAGTAAAAGACAACCAGGTGATTGTGGCTGCCATCTTGCCACGTTTATCCTGCCCCCCAGTGGACTACTTTTCATAGTGATGTCTCTCTAAGACTAAATCCAGCATACTGACATGAAAACATTGTACCTCCATTACAACAATCACACAATCAAAGCCACTTTTCTACATGTGCATCACATCACCTGAAAAAATTCCTTTCACAGAGGCAGCCAGACACCTTGGTGATCCCTGTCTAACACGTGCTAAAAAAAAATGCTTGGAAAAATGGCTGAGGCTTTGATTGCATGGTTGTGGCTGCCATCTGGATCTTTTTTTTTCAACACCACCCCATGCCATGGATGTCCCTCCTTACCAGTATGTGCAAGCAGTGGTTGAAAAAAGCAAGATGATGGTTGGGGCTGTGAGATGATGTTTCACCCATTTGGGATGTGTCAAGTGGTTGGGGCACTGCTGGTGCTGCTGCAGGAGTTCTCTGGTGTTTCTGACTTTCCCCGTACAGGTAGTCCTCGAATTCTGACCATAATTGAACCCGAATTACAGTCACAAATCATGCTGGTGATTAAGCAGGTCACCATGTGATGCGTGCCTGATTTTATGGCCTTTTTTTGCAGTAGTCATTAAGCGAATGTTGCAGACATAAAGCAAAGCCATTGTACCCAACAGATTTTTTTTTTGCCAGAAACCGGAAGTAAATGCCAGTTTCCATTAAAAAAAAAAGTCATAAATCATGATCACATGACCATCGGATACTGCAAACAGCTGTATATGCAGGTCAGTTGCGAAGTACCCAGATGTGATCACGTGATTGTGGGGGAGGGGCCAACCATCTGAATCTTAAGGGAAGTCTGTCATAATTTTGAAAGATCACTAAACAACATGTCATAAATTGGGACTAGCTGTAGGCACCTGGCATTGCAGTATTATTTTGAATACAAAAGTAGATTTATTAGGAAATACACGGGAACAGAAAATCTAAGCTTCCGCTTATTATTTG